AGGAAGACAAACAATTGAGAGATGAGTGATAATTTCGGTTTTGGGTTCAAAGCTTCAAACTCAATAACGGGTTTGAGAGAGGAGTAAGAGGAGGAAGGAAGCTTAATTGAAGAGAGAGATGAGTATGAATTTACAATTTTATCTACGTTTTTAACAGAAATGTTAACAAAGGATCGTTTGTAAAAAACAATATAATAATTGGGGACTAAATTATTGATATTTGATATGTAGAGACTAAATATGTAAAACGAACTATAACTGAGGATCTTTTATGGAATTTACTCTATATTTTTAAGACACAAAAGTAGTGTCATTGTACTCCATATAGTTTTTAAATCTTGTACTCCATATAGTTTTCAGATACAAAAATAGGGTCCTAGTACCGGATAGAACACAATGATCGATCATACTACTTTTGACACATAGTTGTTTTAACGTAGTTTCCACTATTGTGACCAAATACGGTAATTTGTTGATTGCCTTTATAAAACTGTTTTTTTAATAAAAGTGGTTTGGATTTACGTGATAAACTACTATAAGAGCAACAGAAATGCTCTTGACCCTGGGGATGCCATGGGGCGTTTAACGCCTCCTCAGTATTAAACACTGCCCCTTCGGACTTCATCCGGGCGTCATCGCCTTGCGTCAAATGTTTAACGCACAGTGGCATTGATTCCCCCCTCCCCCAACGACTATTTAAGCCGTTACACCCAAAAAATAAAATTCTTTAATTTAAATTTTTATAAATATCAAACCTCAATCTTCAATCTTCTTCACTTCTTTCCTTTCTTCAATTTTTGTAACATGAATCCCTCCGGTTCATCCCCGGACGGGCTCGAGCCAAACGAGTACGCCATGTGGCTTTCCTAACAATATGGGAGTAATGCGGCGTTGTTCGAAAAGCAAACATCAGCGAACCGCGATGACCCGGAGTCGGTTCCGGAGACTCAACCGGAATCAAGGGGAACGAAAAAAGTTCACGCCGGAAGAGTCACAAAGTGAAAGGCGACAAAACGATGCTTGAGGTGACACGGTCAATCCAAAAGTGGACGTCGGAGGAAGAATCCTTGTTGGCGTCGGCTCTGTTGACGTCTCCGAGCATCTTATCGATGGTAGAAATTATATGTTTTCCAATATATTTGTGTTAAAAAAATTGATTCAATTATATAGTTTTTAAAGGTTTGGAGCAAACAAGGAATGCTCTCGGTCCCGAAAGAGCGGGACAGACGATGGCGATGTTCTCCGGCTTGCCACGGTCCGGTATCAAGACGACGGGCACCAAGGCAAGGTGCTCGTTGATCTTTGGAAAATTTTAAGCCGTTCACCAAAACGGAAATAACTCAACAATCCCGTTGCCGGATCCTCAAAGAAAAGATCTCCTCCAAGGCTGAGGTTGAGGTTGATGACACTATCGGTTCGTCCAAACAAAGGCCTCCCTTCCACGTAGACGATTCCGATGACGAAGACCCTATTCCACGGCCGATCGGAAGAAAGAAGGCAAAATCCATTGCCTCGGGTTCTAGAGGGTCCGGTTTTGTATCCTCTCACGACAATATTGGTCGGGCAATGGTTGAACAACTTCGGGTGTTCAATATTAGAGAAGAATAGAGGGAGAGAAGAAAGCAACAAAAGGAAGAGATCGAAGTAATGGAAACCGACCTTGATACGCTATCGGGCTTCAAACGTATGATCTTGGAGAGAAGACCAAAATAGATCAAGGCTAAATATAATTTGTCTTAGTTTTTTATTAATGTATTTTTTATTAAATTTTCTTTTTTATGGAATGTAATTTTTATGAATTATTATCATTTTAATTTTTTAATTTAATGATTGTAATTTTTTATGAATTATTCTCGTTTCAATTTAATTAAATAGTTAAATAAATCAATATTCAAATTTTGAATATTTATGGATAATTGGGGTGTAGAAATTGAGTCTAAAAATATTTTGTATGTGAAACGATATCTAAAAATATTTGAATAAGATATTTTTACTTACCAAAAATATTTTATTATATCAAAATAAGTATTTTGATAGATATTTGATATACCTTTTGTAACTGACTCAATAAAAGCATTTTTTGAATAGTTAAAAAAAGATTTTTCAACCCACTCTAAAATAAGTATAATTTTTTTATATAAGTCTCATAAAATAATTTTGGAGGGAAGAATATTTTTTTCATCCTTACAATATATCCTAAGACTCAATTAAATTAAAAATCTTCAGAAATCATCTTCTTCACTTCTGTTAGGCGCTCCGTTACGCGTCTTGGCCTTCATTAAATCCCGTGCTCTTTCTTGAATAGTTCAAGGGATTTGGCACTTCAAGTCTTTGTGTTTATCAATATAGAACTTCATTCTTGACTTGAATAACTTGTAATTGTAAATTATTAAAACCTGTGAGTCAACACTTTATAGCACAAAAAGGGGTTGAACTCATGCATTTCAACAATTTGCCCCTTTTTGATAATGACAAACACATGGAGGATATGCTATCAATAAAAAAATAATTTAAAGCATATACTTCTACGGAGAGAAAAATTTAAACAGTTAAAAAATCACATTCCCCCTAAAATCATGCATTTCTAGCAAATAAAAATACTTTCCCCTTAGTGTATGCTATCTTCCTTCTACAGTAATGCATACAGAAAGAATCAAGACATATAGCACAAAAAAATAACTTCCTCCTTACTATATACAAAGCAACCTATATATACATATTTCTCAAAGAAATATAACAAGTAATTCACATAAATTCATGCACAAAAATTATGTAATCACTTCCCTTTGATGCAATCTCTTTGATTAAGTGTTTGGAGCATCCATTATATTTTTGTAGTCTTCAAGCACACCTTCCTTGGCGCATCTAAAAATGAAAATTAGGTATCCAATCACTTTTGGGTCCTTGATTGTTAGGCAAATAATAATCATAGTTATATAATAAATCTCTATGCTTTGCAAAACATACAGGTGTTATGTGTCCTACCCGATTGCAATAGTGACATATCACGTTCGGGTTGTGCATATGCCTAGGTTGAGACAAATAATACCTAGGTGATCTAAAATCATTATTCCTAGAATGAATAATAAAATTTCTAGACTCATTTCTAAGTTGTCTAAAATTGTTCCTATCATTTTTAAATTTCCTAGAGTCATTTCCAAGTTGTCTATGATTATTCTTATTATTCCTAAAATTATTTATGTTATTCCTAAGATTATTATTTCTTCTAGATGATCTATTTATCTTAAATAATTTAATTATTTTCTTACAACCTTAAGTTTTTAATAGTGTCCCTAAATTCTATGTTCTCTAACTTCAAATACTCACAGGAAGAACAAGTAGAACTATGGTCAACAGAAGAGGAAGGTTCTTTCATTGCCTTAATTTTATTTTTAAGGTCATGATTATCATTTTTCAAAACTTTATTTTCCTCTTCTAAAACTTGAATTTTAGCCTTATCCTTTTTGGCAATTTTTGAAGCTTTCTTATACTCACCAAATAATTCTTTAAAAGTTTCTTGCAATTTTTCAAAAGAAGGAGATTTAGAAGTGCTTACCTCTTCTTCTTCATTGGCCATGAAGCAAATTTGGGTTGCTTCTTTTTCTCCTTCAAGAGCTTCGTATTTCTCTTGAATATCATCCCATAATTTCTTGGTTGTTTTTTAGCCCCAAAATGTTTGGAATATTTCCACATCAATGGCACAATATAGAAGGTGTAGAGCTTTAGCATTTTATTCTACCTTCTTGATATCATTATCCGTGTACTCCTATACGGGTTTGAACACTCTTTTCTTGCCTACCTTCTTTTTTGGAAGACAAATTCCATCGTTGATCATCATCCATAACTTGTAATCAATGGATTGAATCAATATTTTCATTCTATCTTTATATTTACCTGAGAAAGGATTGTGCACTACTTTTGATTCTGTTTTTCCTTTTTTTGTTTTCTCATGATTGCTAAAATCTTTTCCCAAATTGGTCATTTTATCCCTTAAGTCAGTCTTTAAACTGTTTTCCATTTGAACTTAACCCTTTTCTGGTTAATAAACAGGACTTCTTCAATTTTCCTTAGGGGGGCAAAAAAATCGAACTAGCATTGTACCATACCAGACCGTAATGGTACCGAACCGTTCATAGTATTTTTAAACGAGATTAATTTTTTCCATCCCGAACCGATATCAAATAGGATGAGACCGTGATACAAAAATTTAAAACCGATTGTCATGGACTGAACCGTTCAAAGCTACAGAGTATGTCTAATACTCCGTACTTTTTTGTCTACTTCATCTTCGCATATAGGAAGTACTTTGCATTGTATTATTCTTTTTTAATATCCTTTAATTGTTATTGTTGTTATTAATTTATTATTACTATGAGCATTATTTTTTGTAATTAATAGTCTAATATTATATAATTGGAAAAATCTTACTGAGTACTTTTCATATTTTAAATTTGCACTCATTATCTTTTATGGAATACTCTTCACGTTTATCATCTTTTTCAATTCAAAACCTGTTCTTTTTTAATAAAGTTGGGTGTTTTCTTTAATATTATTTGAGTAATATATGTTCAAATTTTTGGCACAACTTGGGCATAAGTATGATATTGTACCGTTCCATTTCAAAACAGAATGGTATCGAATGGTTTTGGGGTTCATCACGTACCGATATTGAATCGTTTAAACAAGAGCGGTCCGTGATAGGTTCTGGTAGTATCACGAACCGTCACGAACCACGCCCATCCCTAATTTTCCTTGGAACTATTGAGCTACATAGAAAATACCTTTTAGGTCGAGGCATAAGTGGTACGACACCCCTGCTCCTTGTGCATTGATCCAAAAGGAAATGATTTGTGTATGGAGAAATACCTAATTAGAAGAGAAAATCCATTTTTAGCCATAAACTTCTCAAAAGATTTAAGTGATCTCAAACAGTAATCAATTTTTTTCTAGGGGCAAGGAATACCTTGACTACCTAAGTTGTAGGCTATCTAAAATGGGCATGAGGTAACTTGACCATAACCTGTTAGAGCAACTCCAATCATGGGGCATCTGAAGAGGTAAAATGCTTATAACTACCATTTTTACCTTTTTTTCATAAATATTGCACTCCAATGAGAGAGGTATGTGAGGGGGTAAAATACCTTCATCACTTTCAAAGAGGTAAATATACCTTCATTAAGAAGAAGAGGTAAAGGAGATGTATATCTCTCCAAGATACCTCCCACCATTGGAGTTGTACGGAGTATGTGGGAAGGAAAAGTAAAAAAATAAGTTTTGGACAAAATAAGAGGTTAAATTAAACCAAAATCGTTAAAAGTAGGAGAAGGCAAATAAACACGGAGTAATTAGTATTGACTAGCAGAGAACAGAAATGGAGGTTGGAGGGAGCAGTGAGAGCCCGGCAGAGACGAAGACGAAGACCAAAACAGCTCGAAAACCCAAAGAAAGCACTCTGAAACAAAGTATTTTCTGATTAATTATTGCGCACTCCAGTTTCATATCCTGATTTCCATTATTTGAATTTTAATTTCTTTTTTATTTCTCATTTTTCAGAATCTCCAGCTGAGTTCTTTGCTGACAACAAGAACATAGCGGGGTTTGACAACGTGAGTTATCAATTGCAAATGTATCGTACATATGAATCCTTTATGTTTATTACTCGTATTAGACTTTAATAATTCCTGTTCTGATTTTTAGACAATGAGGTTGGGGGTATGGCTGTTGTTCTGAAATGTGATGGCAAATTGTCTTGTCTGGTGTCTTATTATTCTGTGGCAGGATCCAGGGATTGTCACTTTCTAAATTTTTCCATATGGCACTGAACTTTGCCTTTTATTTTTGACATTGAAAATATCATATGAGATTTCATTTCCAAATTGTCTCCATCTGAACCAAACGTTTCATTGCCATGATGCTGAGTGCCTTTGAGATGGGATTTAGCAACTCCGCTGTGTAGTTGTCCATAAACTGTCTTGCAGATTTTTATTTTTATTTTTGTAGTGTGCTGAATAAGGACATTTCTCCTTATAACAAAATGATCTCCGCCTAATAAAAAAGATCTTTGTAATGGTCCCTTAATGTTATTAGGATTTTTGTTCTAACTTATCAAAGTTTTTTACTCCTGCAGCCTGGGAAATCACTTTATACTACAGTGAGAGAGCTTGTTGAGAATGCTCTTGATTCTGCCGAATCAATATCGGAACTTCCTGTTGTTGAGATGACAATGTATAAAAGTTCTTTGGATTTATGCATTTCTGGTTGTGTACTAACTGATGAGTACATCTAGTATAAATATGATTAATCACTTAATTTTGTGATTTGATCCTGCTGTTTGCTGTTGTAGTGAGGAGATTGGGAAATCAAAGTTCAATTCTTTGATTGGCTTGGCAGATCACCAGAGGGTTGATGCTGAGCTGTATGATGATTTTGAAACCAAAAAGGCGCGAGAGGTTTTAATGCTTTTAACATTAATCCGAATAAGAGGAATTATTTTCTTGCAAGCTTGATTTGATATATAAATCCGAAAAATTTTAGGCTAACAATCAATGCTAACTGTAAGGTACTAGTTTATACTTTATTTGGGTCTATCTTGGCTTTAGAAAAGACTTGCCAAGGAAGCTCGACTTCAAGAGATCCAGGCAAAGAGTGCCGCGTCTGGGAAGAAAGTAAAAGAAGCGACAACTGTAAAGGCCAACAGAAGTCGTGAGGCTTCATATTACTGTGTGACATGCAAGGTACGACTCTATTATCACTACACCAAGCTAATTTTTAGTGTCCGATATCCAATTTTCATTTGCCATGGCTCTCTGTCTTTGCTGAATTTAAGGAATGGTCTTTGTTCAATTGATATATATGTAGGATAATGGAAAAGGAATGCCACATGATGATATCCCTAACATGTTTGGAAGAGGTATGGTTTTGGTTTCAATGATTAGTTGTTCATTTTAAGTTTACAAATGTTAGTTTTATTCCCATTGTTTTCTCCCCCCACCCTTTGTAAAAAACACAATTAAAGTAAAAGAAAAATAAAAAATAAAAAAGCTGCTAAATAATTAAGTAGTTCCGTGTTTAACAAATGGGGAGCAATTGTATGCTTTTAGTATCACAACTGAACTAGCAAGCTTAAACTCTCTAAATAATTAAGCAGTTTCATGTTTAATACTATAACCACTATGGGCACTATACATATTTCTGTGCACTAAGAATTTTTTGATATGCAGTGTTATCTGGGACAAAGTATGGATTGAAACAAACACGTGGGAAATTTGGTCTTGGTGCAAAGATGGTAGGTTTTCATATAATTTCCTTTGGAGTTTATTCGTAACTTTTAAGATGAATGTCATCGTTTTTAAATTTTTGGTTCCTACTTTTTAACTTGTTTTTGAACTATACTCTGTCCCAAATTGATATTCACATGTGAAAATGGCATATAGATTAAGACTTTGTTCTTTTGGGTGGGGTAAACAGAGTTGAAGAAGTCAAAAGGATTTCGAAAAAATTAGGAGTTGAAAGATATTGAAAGAAGTTGGAAGAAATTAGAAGAAAGTTGAAAAGCCAAAAGAAGTTGGAAGAAACTCGAAAAACTTGAAAGAAGTTGGAAGAAACTCAAAAAAGTTGAAAGGAGTTGATATACTCCCTCTGTCCCAAAACTAAAGTCCCACTTACTATTTACGTGTCAAACAATTTTTTCTTTCTTCACTTAATTTTGTTAATCATTTATCAAAATAATAGTCATGCCGCCTCTTGTTTTATGAGCATTTGATGTAGTTTTTAAATATATACTATGTAATTTTTATTTTAAAGTATAATATAACTATTTAAATAAAATGAATTTAGTCAACCATCGTAATCCGAAATGGGACTTAGTTTTGGGACGGAGGGAGTAAATATTATAATTATACTTATACCCCTCAGTCCCATACGTTTCTTCTCGTTTTGACTTGGCACAAGTTTTAATATAAAGTGTAAAAAAGTGTTGACTTCCACTTTTGCCCTTTCACAGCTTCACTTATTGTCTCTTATTCTTCTTCAAGTCTCTGCCACAGTGCGGTTCTCCTTCATCGACCTCAACTCTATCACTACAAATTCATTCTTCTTCGTCTTCTTCAACGAAATCAAAATGAAAATATGAAATGAAATCAAAATCAAATCTCATCACATTCAAGAAAATCAAATCTCATCACATTCATGAAATGAAAATCGAAGAGAAGATCAAAGCATTAGTTCTAAATCTCAACGGAGTTTATAAACTAAGAATCATAACTTGGAAATAGATTTGATGCTTGGCGACTACCCCATCAATGGCAGATCTAATTCTCAACCAAAGTGTCAATGTCGAGAAGCTTGTTTTGCACTTTTACAGCGTCTTTGCGGCAACCGTCAATGGCAAATCTAATTGTCAATCTCATATACTCATTGTCCATCACCAGCTCCTCTGCCTTGATTTTTTCATGTATGTAAGGAGAGGTGGGTGGCGGTGACTACCATCTGGACCCCAAACATGAAGAAGAAATGGTAGTGACTACATCTAGGAGGGACACTGATTAGGGAGACGAAATAGAAAGATGGGGGCGGTTTGACGAGGAAAAAAAATAGAGGGGGGCTTACAAGGGAAGGAAGAAAAAATAGGGGGAAGAAAAAATAGGCGGGAGAGAGAGAGAGAGGAAGAAAGAAATGAAAAAGAGAAAGGAGAGTAAATTAGTCTTTTTAGTAAAATTTATTTGCCAAATAAGGAAACAAGAAGAAAGATATGGAACGGCCCAAAAAGGAAAACAGGAAGAAAAATATGGGAGAGAGGGAGTATACGTTTTTATTAAAATAACGTATATTCACCTTCTTTTACCATTTTTAACTTTTTAAAATTTTTTTGGTATATCCCACTATTTTTGTCTCACACTATATTTAGTAATAAACATAGTTGTCCGTATGCCAAGGCGAGGCGCTTTGCCAGTGTACTACCATGTCGCCTAGACGACTAGGCGATTGCCTAAGTGACCTAGGCGGCAACACAGAAGAAATCAGGATTGGTATACATTAGTAACACTAAGTAACACTAATATAAATATAAACATACGTATTCTCTAAACCTAATCAAAAATTCAAATACACATTCTTAAAATAATATGAACACACCATAATATGAAAAAAAATTATTACGAAATACGAAATATGATTAAAAACAATAGGCGACTTCTTAGTTCAAAGTAAAAATTGAGTGTGAAAAAACTCACTTAAAGGCATAAAGGATTTTCAAAAGGCTAGGCCTAGAAGACGTCCACATAGCTGGCCTAGGCGAGGCTTAGGCGACACCTTGGTGAGGGATGCAAAATAAGGCGAGGCGATATACCATGGTGAGAGGCTTAGATCGCCAGGATGCCTAGGCGATACCTTGACAACTATGATAAGAAATGTGTAAATCACTCATTTGTACCTTTTCTTTCTTTTTAGCATCTGTATCATAAAAGCACATTAAACCTTTACTTCTACAACTATGATTATACAAATAACAAAGGAATACTCAGATCTTTTAAGCTAAGACTATATCAAAAAAAGGATTAAAATATAAACAAAATCAGAAGAAAATCACAACGGAAAAAAGTCACAAAACTCTCCTACATCACAAAATCAGAAAACTCTTCTACATATAACAATTGCTTACTTCGTATGACATAAAACGTTAATTACTAAATATAGAGGAAATTCATAGCTTCTTGTAGAGGCACACGAATAAACAAGTTCGTTGTTCGTTTCTGCCTAAAGGATGATTCCACTTATAATGCCTTGAATTGGATTAGATTCACTCTTCGTTTAGGTGTGGAAGTGCTTAATGTGGAGTTTTATTGTCAACATTTCAAATTTGAAGTGCCATTGTATTTCATTCCATGGAAAATTGCTTTCCTGTTTTCCACAAGTAAACAACCAGTTCTGAAAATTGCTTTTCAGAGTCCAAACCCTGCATCCTTTAAATCATTTTCCCATATACTACAGTTTACAAAAGAAAACTTCTCCACTTTATCCTAATTCCTAATTACTCCGTAATTTTCAAAGACGAAGATAACTTGCACTGACGCTCAATAATTCCTCATTAATTTTCATAAATTTAATTTCTAAATGTGCTCTGTTTGCACATGCTAGTAGGCTGCATACTTTATTAATTCAACTTACCAGACTTTAGAACAATTGGAAAAAAGGATTAAAATATAAACAGAACCAGAAGAAAAACCCATAGCAAAACAAAATCACAAAATTCTGTTACATCAAAAAATAGAAAACTATCCTACATATAACATTTGCTTACATCCTGGGACATAGAACATTAATTACTTAATATATTATGTCAGAAGATGAAACACAATGAGACACAAACATCGACAGTGTACCTCAAACAGTAGCAATAGAATTGTGGAAGAGAAGCTCACACCAAACCTCATCTGCCTACTGCTAGTATAAAATGAAGCACGATTTACCCAGTTCCGTTCGAAAAAAATTAACGGCTTATGTTAAAGAGTTCTGAAATGAATAGGAAATTGAAGTCGTAGTAAATTGGGAATGATTACATGTGCCATGCCTGTGCACTACTTGAGCAATAATTGGAAGAGCCCACTCCACAATGCTGCGATGCTGCAGCGAAAAACTGCCGGAAACGGCTTTTTGAAATGGGGTTCATCATGGGCTGGAATGGAAGTGGATGATCCAAGTGACAGTGTAAGGGTAAAATAGAAGTTAAAAAGAAGTGTACAAATGATAAAGAGTGAAGGTACTACCTAAATGGATGGAAAAGATGCATAAAGTTATGGGGTACCTAACCCTCTTTGGCATTTATATAGATGGAAAGATATATATATATATATATATGTATATATATATATATGTTTATATGTGTGTGCGTGTGTGTTTATAGGATACATTAATTTTAATTTTCAAGTACTCATGAATTGAGCAGAAGGCCATTATATGATATCCATTGTCAAAAACCTTATACTCTTTGCATGATGGTGATTTTTTATATACAGCTAGTTGATTTTCTTAATTCATATCCTCATGCAGGCACTGATTTGGTCTAAGATGAGTACAGGGCTACCGATTGAAATCATGTCATCTATGAAGGGGCAAAGTTATACTTCATTCTGTAGGCTGGATATAGATATTCATCGGTATGACTTGTATTGACATAAGAACCATGTTCAACTGTTCAAAGCAAATCAAATTGTCATCCCAGAGGACTATTTTTCCTCAAATTTTGAAACCTTCTGACCTTGGCAAAAAAATGCACATCAAGGATTGTTCCTTCATTAAAAATTGAAAAGATGAATACGAAGTGCATTCCCTCCAAATAATGTTTTTTGGATTATTTTGTAATTCTTATTATATTCGTGATTTTTTCCTTTATGCTAGGAACATTCCTCACATTCATGTACATGAAAAACGTGAGAACAAAGAAAAGTGGCATGGAGCAGATATCCAAATAGTCATTGAAGGGAATTGGACAAGTTACCGTGTATGTGATGCTTACATTTGAGTGAATTAAGTCAGTAAAAGATTTAGTTCCTGGGTTTCAAACATGATTGGTCTTCATATTACTTATTATTCTCTCATTACATTTACAGTCAAAAATACTCCACTATATGCGTCAAATGGCTGTCATCACTCCTTATGCACAATTTATTTTCAAATTTATATCAGAGACTCCAGAGTAATTTTTCTCTTTTCTTATTGTAGCTACTCTATTGTTCTCTTCCCTATGCTTATTATATAATCTCTATTTCTATTTATCTTTGTCTGCTGGTTTGTGGTTTCATTTTGGTACGTCAATTTTATGAAGAAAAAACGTGACCATACGATTTACAAGGAGAACAGATATAATGCCTCCAGTTCCTCTTGAGACGAAGTATCATCCATCTGCTGTTGATATACTTCTGATCAAGCGGCTAATTGCTGAAACTTCAAAGCATACCCTTCTACAATTTTTTCAGCATGAATTTGTGAGCATAGGGAAATCCCATGCAGATCGTTTGATTGGTAAGTTCCTTTACTTTAGACCTGATGGCTTTAATATTTGTATGTCCACTCTACAGGAAAGTTGTACTCATCAAACAGCTTCTTAAAGTAGGCTCACTACATAATCTGTCAAATATGTTTTATATATTTGCTAATTGAAAGGTAGACGAAATCGTAATATGGTTTGTAAAAACGTATGACTCTATGCGTCTGTGGGGAAATTGTGATTTAGATCGCTATTCTAAGATTGGAAATACAGTTAACTCGTCCGGATCGCCATTCAGAAGCATCTAAAATCTCTAATTCGTGCGTAAGTTTCCTGAGAGTAATATTTCAGATTTGAAAGGCCTTGCGGCACCAGATTTCAGATCTGAAACCTAAGTATCCACTACGGGTGAAGTAGATCCACCACCTCTGCTGATAAAGTCAATTTGTGGCCGCCGTCATTGTCCCCGGTTTATAAGCTTTGGTCAGTTTTGACTTTTGTTCTTCACTTCTCCTTCTGACTTTTCAGTTTTTTTCATTATTGTCTTTCTTTTTCTTTTTTCTTTGATTGGGGAAGGGCCAGGAGATGGGTCTTACTACTTACTAGTCACTGTGTATGTTTTAGATTCAGATTTTTTTCTCTTGAAAGCTGATTGTATGCTACACAGATGAATATAAATATAAAATACACACACATGCATGTATGTGTTGAACTCTCGCCATATCACACTTGCCATAGTGTCGCCTAAGCGAGGGCCTAATTGATTAGGCAACACAGAGGTACCTTATCGCCTTGTTGCTGTAACATTTATGGTTGATAGTATTTCAATTTTCAAGGAATTGATAACCCTGAAATTGTATTGCATTCTATATGATTTAGATTGATGAGATAAGTTGGGATGTCATATTTGAAGCATGGATGAAATTGGAACACTTGTTTTTTTAACCCAGATTCATTTTTTATAGGAGTCAGCATTTACAATTCTGTGAGTTCCCATGACACTATCTTGATAATGAAAATCATATCACAATGAGAAATTAAGCAAGCTGTAAATGACAACCAAAATACATATGACAACTCGTAATATATACAGTTATGATTGCGCACAAGAAAAAGAATATTAGAAACCACATGTCCTCATTACTTCCTTCTCCACTTGGACCACAATGACAAGGAATTCATACTCTTTTTTTACAGAACAGCTGGAGAGCTCCATCACCTTGCCAACCTATTTGGTCTGCATAACATAACTTTTTTGTGAATTGTGACCTTTGAGCATTTTGTTTTGCTACTAATTTTCTTTTGCCTCTCACTATCATCGCATTTTTGTCATGTTCCTGCTAAATAACAAGACTTTTTATGGATATAGCTTTCAACTTGATAATATCTGAAGACAAGTACACGATTTTAAAGAAAAATAGTGAGCCTATTTTTAATTGGCCGAACCGTAGTATTTCTCGACCTTAGAGAGTCTGGGACTCACGGTTCAATGTTTTTATATTTCAACCCCACGATCAAGTTGGAAAATCATATGCTCTAATCTTGATATAATGTGAACTTGAATCCTGAAACTAGATACCTGAAACCTGAACATGAAACTATACTGACAAATCTTGAAACAGAAAACTTGAACATAACTTGATGTATTGATTCATGACACACCATTCTGAGTCAACAACACATTCAGGGTGTGACTTGGAGACATTGACAGTTGGAGCAGAAGCAGGACAAATAGTAGCCGTAATATAGATAACAGTACCGGCAGTAGGAGTTGCATCTTTGACAAAAATCTTAATACTATGAGATGGCATCAGCGCACAAATCCTTGACTGACTTTAAACCATATTTGTTTTGGCATATCTATCATGCACGCTCTAACATGATCTTGTTTATGAATATTGTATAAGATAGAAATCACAACTTATGTACATTTTTTGTTCAAGGCACTGGGGCTTTCTTATTGGTTGCACCATAAACTATTAGGCTTGTAAACTAATCATGTGGCGTGGAGTTCTTGGAACCTGTTTTCTAATGACGACAAGCCTCCAAGACCAATTATAATTGAGTAAACGCTAGAACAAAGTTCTCGGAGACACAAAGCAAGTAAAAGAGACCTCAGTGCTTCCACCATGCAATTTTGGTGTGACTAACATTGATTGTGGGTACCTCGTTGCGTCTGCTCAAGCATTGATGTCATACCTTTGTCAAGACATTGGCTGTTTAAAATGCATGTGCATTAACATACCTTATGTGTCTTTCTTCTCACGGTGCGCTTGAGGCTTGCACATGTAGATTCATATTCGAAATGCTTTTTTAGAAGGAGAGCATGAGTTGGTTTAGGTTGGAATTGGTGGTGGTCAACCTCTCTGAGGAAACATGCGCTCTGATAGGAGTTCCTAGAGGCTGTGTATTAGGTTCTAGAATTCTTTACAAAGTTGTGTGCGAGTCATTATTTGGCAGGGTCTTCTCGATAACAGTATCTCCGCTATTTGTTGTTGGACTGCCAAAAACACCATATAGTTGGACATCAACTCTCTTCCATACATCTTTTTAATGCTTGATTTGAGAAAGATCTGTTATTCAATGGCCTCCAACATACAAGATAAAAAGATTCAGAACATAAATAAGCCTGGGTTGGCTGGTTTCCATACTTTGTACCATACGAGCAACGTGTATCCTTCCTGTAGAGGTAAGGTCTTTGTACTTCTTACCCTCCCAGACCCTACTAATGAGCGGGGGATACTGGATATGTTTGGTTTGGTTTGAGTGGAGCTCACTGTATGCAAAAATAAATTAGGAAAAATTATTGTTACTTAAAGTTATCAAGTTTTGCACAACATGATCTCGGATGCATGTGAATGGAACTGGAATGCTTTGCTGGAATAAAATGCCATGATTTGCCGCACAAATTCAAGTGCGTGGCTGAGAGTCATCTTGACTACAGTGATATGTTTGAGCGCATCCAAGCCCTAAAGTGATTTTGTATGACGTCTTACATTTATATCTTCAAACAATGGGCTGGAGATGCCTCAACACAAAAATACAGGATCACAAGCTGCTAGGTTACTGTTCACCAAGCACAAGAATAGTTAGGTTTATTTGGAATTATACTTTTGTACTCGATAATATTTAAAGACTAAAACGGTGCTTATGTAGTTCTCCATGTTATAGAGGAATAATGGCAAAGCCTGATGAATTGAAACCGTTGAACCCTAGGGTTTCTGAACCTATTGGTTTTATATTATTAAACTTCTATATTGTGCTTTTGCTATTGCTTGTACTTGTTGCTTGTACTTGGCGCTTTATATGTGCTATATTGTGTTCCCTTCCATATTTTTGTGCAGGTGGAGCCGGGGGTCTCTTGGAAACAGCCTCCCTACTTCCGAGTAGGGGCAAGGTCTGCGTACACACACCCTCCCCAGACCCTACTGTTGTGGGATCCAACTGGGTTGTTGTTGTTGTTGTTGTTGTATATCTATATATTCTATTTAAATTGAAGCTTCCTAATTTGTTCCATTTTGAATATTATTACCACTCTTCCTACTCAATATTATATATTTGTATCCGTCTTAGTTTATTCATCCCATGTGACTTTTTCAGGCAAAGTTGACGAACCTTGGTTATTAATTTAAACAAAAATTGCATATTAATACAATGAAATAACTTTTTAAAAGTTTTTTTTTGTAATATAAACATAATTAAATCATATTTCTTATTAATATGCAATGTAATTTTTTAAAAAATTAATGACCAAAGTTTATTTATATTTAATAATTCATCGGCTTAATTGACATAAAGTTTTCTCCTATAGATGTGTAGAACATTGTCAGATTGTGTTGCTTCCAAAGCTAAGCTTTGTCTTAAGTTTTTGAATATAGAAAAGAAATGGATTAACTTGAATATATGTATGTATGGTGGGTGTGCACTAATGCTACCCCCATGCAGCAAAGTTGGACTCTGAGTTTGATAATGCATGCACGCACCCACATCATAAAGTGCAAGCTTTGATTCTGAATTTGAGAATGCAGGACAGAATGGACACCGTATATGAAGTCACTTATTGATGTCAAATATTTTGAAATTTAACATATCATTTGTATACCCGATTGAAATACTTTGCGAATAAACTTATGCTGTTTGGTTCAGGGGAGTTGGGTCCAGACTTTAGCGCTAAAATGCCAGTCAAATCATTAAGTTCTCAACAGATTGTTCGTATCCATCAGTTGTTCCGTCAAGCCAAGTTCCACGATCCTAGCGGTGATGTAAATCCATGACTTATGGCTGTTTACTGTTTTGTACTGCTATCCTGGCTTATTGTTACGTTTTGTGCTACATCATTGCATGTTCTATCTTCTAATCATAATTCATAGCTATCAATACTCATTTAACTGCAGGTTCTAAGTCCTGCGGGGGAGTATAATTTAAGGCTTGGAGTTATAAAGGAGCTGCATCCAGATATGCTTGCTACATATTCGGGAAGGTGTCTATCAGTTTCCAACCTGTTTATTAGTCTGCTACTTAATAGAGTTACATATTTGTGCTTCATTGTCATTTGCAGTGCGCAAGTATTTGAAGGGCATCCTTTTATTGTGGAAGCGGGAGTTAGTTTGGGCGGAAAAGATGTGAAACATGTAAGATGTCCGCTTAGTAAATTGAGACTATAGAAGAAACATCCACTACTAGTGGGCAAAAGATCTGTGACCAAGTGCCAAGATGTTTGCTCATTTAGTACATCATATGATCTTGTGTGGTATTCCATTGGTGGTAAAAGATTGAGATAACAATTTGTAACATTTAGATTTTCTAGATTATAGAAAACACCCACTAGTAGTGGGGAAGATCTCAGTGACCAAGTTGCAAGATGTGGCATACTGTACCTTTCTTATATACATGCATTTAGTTGAAAGATTTGGCCTACTGTGCGTTACACTTCTAGGGGTTTTACTTCATGTGTCTTGAGGATCTCGCCTAGTATTATTATACGAAGTATTATATTTTATTCATATCCTGACATTCTGATTTGAACACATTCTAGGGTCTAAATATATTTCGGTTTGCTAATCGCATTCCCCTTCTATTTGAGCAAGGAGCTGATGTTGTTACCCGAACCGCTTTGAAGAGGATCAAGTAATATCTAGTTTACATTGTGCTGTTTAGCTCTAGTTTATCAAAAAGCTGATATTATTTCTATCTTCAAAGGGGGACATTTTTGATTCCTTTACAATACGGTTAAATTGGCAAAGGACCTAATTAAATAGCCACTTTCAGCTGGAACAGTTACAAGATTAATCAGGCACAAGATAAAATTGGCGTCTTCGTCAGTATTGTAAGCACCAAAATTCCTTTTAAAGGGACTGGGAAGGAATACATTGGAGATGATATAAGTGAGATAGCTTCTGCTGTGAAGGTAGATTTTAATTCAGTTATGGTTCAAAATTTCAAGGGAGTTAAAACTTAAAAGAGTCATTTATGACAATGTTTTACTTCGGGTGTAATAATGTACTAAATAACAATGACACATTAAACTTCCCTTGCCTCTTATTTCCTACGGCATATTGGGCAGTAAATGCATCAATGTTCCAAGGGTCTCTAGGAAACAACCTATGTTTTGTACTGGGGTAAGGTTGGGTACATCTTGACCCCCTAGACCCCGTCGATGTTAATACTAGGTTTGTTGTTGTTTGTGTTGTATGGTTCAAAATTTTATGGGAGTTTCTTCTGTTCTGGTCTTAACTGCATTAAAAAAATCAGACAGCCATTCAACAGTGTTGTGTTCAGCTAAAATCCAAAATCGTAAAAAGAAAACAAGCTCAAGAGCAGCAGGAGAGAAAGCGTAATTTGACCAGGTATGATTGATTCACTAGGTAAGTGATAATATGACATGGTTTAGATGATCCCTAATTTATTGTATGTTTTTCAGGTACATCCCTAGTGCTTCTGTTTCTATATTTGAAGTCCTCAAAGATATGTCTAAGAAACATGCTTCCAAGAAGAGGCGCTTTGAGGATGGAGATTCAGATTTACTGAAACAAGTTTCAGATGATTTAGTTACAGAAGAGACACTGAGAATGAAGCTTGCTCAGCATGTTCAACAGGTGGGTTTGCATGAACTTACCATGTCCTATCAGTGTGATACGTCCGAACACATGGAAATCCTGCAGTTATATAAGGAGTAAATTTTAAAAGACATTTAAAATTTGTCCTGCAACTTGCAATGGCTATTGTCATTATCATTATCATGAGGGTTTCCCACTCCATCTGTTCTTTTTTTAATCTTCTCAATTTCCTTTTTTGGAAATCCCTATTTAATCTTCCCATTCCGTTTTCAAGAAAGATCTGTTTGGTTCATACACTTCTCACTCTTCTACACAAATTTCAACCACACAATTTCACCTCTTTAACTCTGTGTGAAAACTTTTAGAAGATTAAATAGGGACGGAAAGTGTACTATACTTCTTTAGGAGTTATCTGATGCTTCTAGTGAAATACACACTTCACAGGTTGACTATGAGATGGCGCTAGAGTATGCCACACAGACTGGGGTAAAGGAAGAGCCCAAAGAAGATATTTACTTGCAAGTGTTGAATGATGATGATAAGTTCACTGATTTCCATAGCCCAATATTTCTCTTCAGACTTTTCCATTAGGTATTTATACGCTTCTTCTCACTCCACCTCTATTCTCTATGTCCATTTTGGAGTTGCAATATGCTTTATACCCATAATGCAGTAGATGAATTACAGAGATATAAGATAGGTTACAAATGTTGGTCCTATAAAGAAACATTGTTCTTTACATTTTACTCCATCTTTTTAGATGGAATACAAAGTTTTAAACTACTCTATGAAAGTGGATAATGTAACGTCGGGTACTGAGTATTCCATTGAAGTTGTATGAGATCATTATCCTTGATCTGCTCTGTTTATAGCTTTAAATTCATTAAAGAGCAAGTTTAAGGCTCATGCAACGTTGACATTAATCGGTGCCGCATACTCATTGGGTGATCATACTATTGGCTTGTCAATATGTCGGGTTTGGATGCAACTCAAAACCCAACCCTGTTTTAAAAAATGGACCTACCCATACCCAAGACTCAGCTCACTTTTGTTCCTAGGTTCAGACTTGTTCGTGTCTTGGTTCGGTCCAAGTCTAGTTGGTCAGGTACAAAGTGTTCCAAAATACTACCCATTTTATAAATTTTAAACAGGTCTGGGCCCGACCCGAGTTGGTCAGGTAAAAAGTGTTCCAAAATACTACCCATTTTAAGATCATGACCAATGGCCACTAGGTAATGAAATGCCACACATTAGTTTAAAATAAAAAGTATAAATTACGTCGTTCAAAAATACATAAAAAATCCTTAGAACAAGAGGTGATAAGTAATATTTTATTTTATCAAATTATCAATGAAAACATACAAACAAACAAAAGTTATCAAGAGGTTGTAATAGTAACAATTGTATCCATTTTTAAACGGGGGAGTATTAAAGTTCTCATTTCTTTTTGCTCACAAAGTATTAAAAAAATATTCTTTCCGTCCTAAAAATGGTTCCCATTTATCTGTGTGGTTAAAATTGAATAAACTTAACAACAGAATTTGAAAAGAAAATACTGTCGAGTAATATAAGTTTAATGGCATCTTATTTGCCTTGAAATGCAACTGTGAAATACTACTTTCCATTGTATTCGAATAGTTTGGCTCAAATTGAACGGGATGTACTTTAACCCTCAATTAAATAAAAATAACTGTATATTTTATATTAGTATAAAAATAATTTAATCAGAACTATATGTTTAGGATTTTCAAAATTGTAATTTGTTGTGTTAATATACAATAAAAATAAAGAGTAATTGATGTTTAAAATTTATCCAGTTTGTTGCAAAAAAGTCAAACTAGACGAATTGTGATGAGGGAGTATTATATTTTATACTTCGTAAAATTTATACACGTGTAAATATTGATATTAATGGTAAAGTTACTAAACCAAAATTGAAACTGAACCAAGAAAGATTAAAAGGACATGATATGAAAATGGCTTTGGTCTTGATTTTCTGATTTACATATGAAATTTGAATACTACCTCCGTCCCGCTATATTTGTCCAGTTTTGGCTTTTGGAACTGTTCATCTAAGCACTTTGACTCATCAAATTCTCTCAATGTGTAAGCATAAATATAGTCATGTGTGATCTTGTTTGATTTGTCTTAACATATAAATTATTAATATATAAATTCTATAACTTTTTAATATACAAATTGCAAGATAAAATGGATTAAAGAAGTGCATTGGATGGTGTGTAAAAATGAAAGTGGACAAATATAGTGGGACAGAGGGAGTAATAAGCTTTGTCATATCTCTGATAGAGAATGAATCTAATATTATAAAATATCTCTGAGAAAATGAACCATGAACCTACCGTGATATAGTAGCTACGTCTGAAAGAGACCATTAAAAGTAGAGTTGATTCGGTTTTGCAGAGTCACACTTGGAGTTAGTGACTATCTTTAGGTTGCAAGTTGTTAGGTTAAAAGTGAATCTTCTGGGGAAAATTTAAACGGGATGATTCCATTGATAAGTACAAATCTAAACTTGTAATTAAGGGTTAGAGTCAATATGTAAGCTTTGATTCTTTTGGTACCTATGCTCCAAGATATGATGAAACTTGCATTTACTTCTTTGTGAAACGTAGAAGTTCATCAGATGAATGTAAATAGAACTTTCTTTGATGCAGATCTATACAATGAGATCTACATAGAGCAACTTGAGGGGTTCAAAGTTTTATATCAAGAAAACAAAGTTTGTAAACTTGTTAAGTCATTGCATTATTTTACGTATGCGTTAGAGCAATGACATGAGAAGTTTGACCAAGCAATGATTAACTCTGGCTTAAAAATTAATAAAGTGAAAAATGTGTCTATGTGAAAGACAAAACTCAATAGTATGTAATTTCATGTTTTTATGTAGACGACATACTCATAGTGGGTAGTAAAGAAAAGGTGGTCATTTCTACCAATAATATGTTAAACTCGTGGTTTGGCATGAAGGGCACTGATATGGATGAAGCAATTCTTGAAGTTCAAATTGTGAGAAGTCTAGACGATCTTGCTCTAAGCCAATTTTATTATATTGACAAAGTCACTAATAAATTCAACAAAGATGACATTAAAACAACTACGATGTAATTGGATGTCATTGCTCATCTAGTTAAAATTGAAGGTTCTAGTTACTCTCAAACTGAGTATGTGAGAGCTATTGGAAGTTTGCTTATTTAATGAGTTACACTCATCCGAATTTAGCATGTGCCATAAGTAAACTGATTAGATACACTGGTAATCCAAGTACGAGGAAAGCTATAGTACGTGTGATGAGATACCTATGGCATATACAAAATCACAACCTATGATAGTTGAGATTTTCACTACAAAAGTTGGAAGAATACACAAACACGAATGAGATATCTAACAGTAAATACTCAACACTTAAAAGGGGATACGTTTTTACTCTAGTAGTATCTTGAAAGTACTCGAAGCAAACATTGATTTCTAGGCCCACAATCGAATCTATGTTCATAGCTCTAAATAAATATGGTGAAAAAGCTAAATGACTACGTTACTTTAGGATATATCTAGATGGGACAAACTAGTCGCACTAGTTTACATCTGTTGTGATTATCAGTCAATAATACGATGTGCTAATAGTAACATGTATAATGGTAAATTTAGATACATTCGTTGTAGACATAATACTATTAGACATTTCTCACAATTGGAATTGTTACAATTGTCTATGTAAAGTAAAATATGATCTCACAGATTTCTAAACCAAAGGATTAATAATTGAGTTGCATGAGAAGATGATAGTAAGAATATAATGGACTTCAAACCTTATGCTAGGAAAGTCTTATGAAGAAAAACCCAACCTGGGTGGTACCCAAATTGAATGGAACAACCTATTTTTAGGATAAAGCACGATCATTTTAGAGGCAGTGCCGACACCCGGTTAGTCCTTGACTCCCAAAAATGGTGAGTGTAACATATGCAATATGTCTTAATGATTCTTGAACATTATACATAATTGTCTAAGTGGAGTAATTAGGGTAGGTATTCTTAGAAAAATCATAATAAGAGTGATGTGTGGTCGTTCAAATAGAGGATTCAAGACTTGATCCTCTAGACACTCTCGTTGAATCAGGCGCGTGTATCACGACCAAAATTGACACACCCATGTATGAGAACTGAACGACGTTTCGTTGGATCATGTGCATGGTATACACAAACGATTGTATAATTAAAAGACATCGCATCCTACTTAAAAACCGGTAATGAAGGTATACCCTACAAGAGACAGGTTCAAATGTGAAGACACTTTGCTATTCTTTGAAGTTTTTCAATCGTGAGATGTCGTCAAAAACAAAATCAATTTTTCATTCATGTGGAGAATTGCTGGAGAATGGGTTTTTAATAGGAATTAATGGACCAACTTTTGGAATAACTATTGAAAAGATTCACTTACAGTTTTGATATTTAATTAATGGAAGTGTTTCTTTTAAATAAGATGAACATTTTATCTAAAGTACGCAAAAATGATAAACGGGTGAATAAGAAATTAATTCTCAAAGTCGGTCCGTTAAGTATTAAGAAATGATTGAGTTTTGTGATTTTCCATACCAAATTGTAAACTTACTCCATAAACACTCCACTATATAAGTGTGAGCATTAAAGAGCTTAATTTGTAAATGCTCTATGGGAGTATAAAAAGAAATCTTATGTGCCAATGTGCGCTGTCGCGAGGGTGATGACGTTAATCTTTTTGGACCAAACTTTTACTACTTTTTGTACGTTGTTTCAAATTGGTTCTTCAACTACAAAGTTAAATGGTCATTAATATTTAATTAGTCAAGGATAAATTGAACTTAAGGTGTTTATAAGTGTTGAGTAAAAATCATTAACTATGGTTAATGATCATTATGAAAGTCATTACGTGTTGCTTCTGTTTCAAAAGTAAAGAGCCTTTTCATCCTATTTGAATGCCTGGTACGTCTTTAATATCCAGCAAGATTGACAAATACACACACGTGTAGAGAGTATGTTGTTTCCGGCAATCTTCACTTTCAATCATCTTTTCTTCCATAAAAAGTTGTGTTGAGGTATCTATGAATAGCAAACCACAACCAAAAAAGAACACACACTAAACAGAAATCAAAACGGAAAAAATAAAACATAATATTTAAAGTGGTTTGGGCGGCTGACCTATATCCACTCTACAACTAGGATTTTTATTATTCGGGTGCTCACTGAATTTTAAGTACGAAGATTACTTGAAAAACAAACTACAGTTAAAAGCTTTACCCCCAAGTTAGGCCCAAGCCTTGATTGATATTAAGGGCTCGCTATATTAAAACATAATTTAACCTCATATAGGTCAAACCAGACTAGCGCCGGCTGCCCTTCTTGGTCGAGCCTTCACACTCAATTTAATCAATAATCTCCCACTTGGAGGCTCGAATAACACCCCTTAGTCTTCAGCATCTGTAACTCTGGTAATCTTCATTTACCACCAGTTGTAGTGCCCTTCTCTTTAGTTGTCTAAAGGCCCGTTGAAGCTCCCACATAGCTTCAACTCATCAGTCATAACCCGTGTCTCGTTCTCTTTCTTTGCCATCTTTGACTGTGACATGTCCATCACTCTCATGGCTTCTGAGACAAACTGAAAACCTACATTCTTCAAACCAAGAAAATAATTAATAGGGGAAACTCTCGACACTGAAATACTGGTTTTCCTAACTCACCATCGAACTAGGACTAAATCACGACCTATGCTCCCACTGTCACAATATTCCTTAACTCGTTAAACCTTCCGAGCGAGTTCATTCTGAATTTGTACTCTTGTTCCTGGTTTCTCATTTGCACAGGTAACCCTCATCTGCACACGAGATTCTTTAAGCAGACCTTTTCTTTTACTACAACTGGACTTGCTCCTTGTGGAGGTATCTTGACCATATATAACGAACCCTTTTTCTTGCGACGAGCAACAACAAGATTTCCTTTGACCACCTTTAAGTGTCCACAACCATTTTTAACATCAAGACTTGAATCGTCTAACTGCTCAACTAAGATAAGCATCCTCTTCAAGCTTGGAATGACACTGAAGATTTTCAAAGTCCAAGTGGCTCCTACTGAAGTTTTCAAGTCAATACCCCCATGCCCATAACATCTAGAATTTCATCTTTACTAAGTCGTACCTTATCAAAGTCCCCGATCTTTAGATTCTTCATCATCTTCATGTTGTGTGTGACATGAACTAATGTACCAGAAGCCATCACCTATGAATCTATACTACTCTATATGCTACCGATTAACACATCATCACTAATGTCTAACAAGTTTCAATAGTATTCACTTCATTTTTACCATTCGGATGCTCACTTCTAAAATGTCTAGTCTGTTTGCAATCCCAACAAGATATTCCTTCTCGATGCTTGGATTGACTCTTGGCTCTTCCATGATTGCTTCCTCTTTCATTTCGTGTTCCTCTACCTTCAATATTCAACAGTCCACTCAAAGAATCCCCTAAACTTTTGCGTCTGATGTCTTCACCAAGAATCAAGTCCCAAATTCCTTCAAAAGTAAACCTAATAGTACCAGATGCACTATAAAATGCAGTACAAACTGCAGTCACTTGTTCGAGACCAACTGCGAGGCAAAGAAGATAAAAGAGCAACGCCTGAAGTTTATCATCAAACTTAATTCAACATGATCCTACCCGAGTTATGACCAAATTAAACTAGTTGGTGTGAATGGGTGCTGAAGCACCCTCCCTCATTCTTGTGTTAACAAACTGTTTGATTGAAAACACATTCTTCAATGTTGAGGGTTTATCGTACATATTCGGAAAAGCTTTCATTATCCCATGTCTAGTCGTTCCATTGACAATGTTGAAAAAAACACTCTTCGCCAATGACAACCTGACCACTCCCAAAGCTTTCCTGTCAAAAATTGTCCAATCTATATCACTCATCTTTTCTAGGTTTTCTCCCGATAATGTTTGGTATAAGTCTTTATGATAAAGAACATTCTCGACTTGCATCTTCTAAAACCCAAAATCATTTCCATCAAACTTTTCCATACATGGCTGAAAACCTAACCTGAGATTGAAAAACCAATAACAAACTAACCTTTTGGCAGTGGCTGTTCACAATGGGGACATGGTTACTGTTCACAAAATGGTACAAACCGTATTCTGTAGCGGAAACTATGATGGCGGCAGAATTGATCTTCAAACCATAATCTTTGATTTAAAACTGCTCTGCACGAACCTGACGAAAGACTTCAATATTCATGAGTTTAAGGCTCCGATACCAGTTGTTGGAATATTTATGAATAGCAAAACACAACCAAACAAGAACATGCACAAAGCTAAAAATCAAAACACAGAAAACGAAACACAATATTTATAGTGGTTCAGTCAGCTAAACTACAGATGTGTTCTCTTTGGCTAATCTTATCTAAACTATTTTTTTAAGGCTGGTCTGATCCAATCCAATCTCAATGAATCTTATCTGAATGGATCTAATCTGATTTGAATAGATCTAGTCTGATCTGAATTGATCTGGTTTGATCTGAATGATTTTATTCAAATTCAAATGACTAGAGTAATAATAATAATAATAATAATATTTAGGGTGTTGCTAAATCCACCCCAATTTTGGCAATATCCACCCCATTTGTTATAAATGTATAAATTTGCCCCTAAAAGTGTTAAAAGAGAAAAATAACATGTAGACTTAATATAAGGATAAACTTGTCCAAATCTCTTAAATGGGGTGGATATAGTCAAAAGTGGGGTGGATTTAGCAACACCCTAATATTTATAATAATAATAATAATTTATTATTAATTATTATTAGAGCCTGTTTTTTAGGGCTTGAACTCTTAATTTCTAGTTTTTTCCAGTTTCTTCCAGTTCCTTCCAATTTCTTCCAGTTCTTCCAGTTCCTTTCAGTTTCTTCCAGTTTCTTCCATTTTCTTCTAGTTTTTTTCAGTTTCTTCCAGTTCCTTCTAGTTTCTTCCAGTTCCTTCCTGTTTCTTCCAACTTTTTTCATTTTCTTCAAATTCTTTTTACTCCTCAACCAATTACTCTAAAAATGATATATTTCAATGTGATTATTATTATTATTATTATTATTATTATTATTATTATTATTATTATTATTATTATTATTACAACTGTTATATTCATAACTATAGTTTATTAATTTTTTTCATCTCACTATTTTTACGATTCACACTTATTATTTTTTCTTCAACTTTTTAATATGAATAAGACATTTTTTTGTATACTGGTCTACATGATAAAACAGGAAAATATCAATATGTTAGATTATACTAAAAAATTATGGATAAAATAGTTACATTGAATGTTTTATTAATATAACTTTTTATTAATATAACTTTTTCTAATTTTTATAAAAAAAATTGTAAGTCAAAAGAGTTTAGAGAAAAAGACTAAAATATGAGTAAAACATAAAAAATGTAAATAAAAAAGTTCTATGTCTTTATTCCAAAAATAGGAATTCAATGAAAATAAAATGTTAATCATGAAAGAAACAATAGGTTTGATTATGTGACATGTATGATATTTAAAACAAAATGTTTTAATATATAAATTATAATTACAAATATATTATTTATAATAAATACTGCATAAATAAATTGAGGTGCAATATAACTACACAGCCTTTTTAAAATTTAATATTTTTATATTTATGCTAACTTTATATTATAATTATTTTTTTTAAAAGTAGTTTTTTGTATTTAAAAAATAACAATACTTTTTTATATCTTAAAGACATTTACTAAGATAACGTGATGATGATGATTATGATGATGATGATGATGATGATGATGATGATGATGATAATGATAATGATAATGATAATGATAATAATAATAATAATAATAATAATAATAATAATAATAATAATAATAATTTATAACAACAAGAATTTAAAATAAATATTTTTAAAGCTTTTTTAGGTTTTCTAGTTTTTTCCAGTTTCTTCCAGTTCCTTCCAGTTTTTACAATTTTTCTAGTTTCTTCCAGTTCCTTCTAGTTTTTTCTAGTTTCTTCCAATTCTTCCAGTTCCTTCAAATTTCTTCCAGTTCCTTCCAGTTTTTTTCAGTTTCTTCCAACATCCAACTCTTTTTTTACAGTCCTAAAGAACAGGCCCTTAGTAATTGTTATTAATAATATCAACAATAATAACTTTAGTGTTAATAATTTTATCTGTAATTACTAATTAATATTATTTTTATTATTATCACTTTTATTTTAATATTTCTAATTATTATTATATTATTATTATGAGTTAACATTAATGATGATTATTATCATTATTAACTATAAAAATAATTAAAATAATTATTATTAACGTCAATTATTTTGACGGTATTCAATGCTTGGCTTTGACTTGCTTGCAAGTCAAACTCGTGTTGTAAACTCAAAGATCTCTCCCTTCACAACGGGCCACAATAGTTTTCTTACAGGACATGATAAATCTTATTAATACCCAATTGTATGACGAAGATACTCCCAATTCAATTGATATAGAATATTTGGAGAATACTCTGGTATTTCTCCCTGGCAAATATGAAAAACGAAGAAACGAGAAGAAGATGATACGATGGAGAGTGCTAACTAAATTGGTAAAAATCTGGTAAATGGGCCTTTAATTTGGAAAGTATCACTCCGTGATG